GCTTTTGTTTAATAATAATATTTATTGATCAATAAAACGAAAAATAAACTGACACACTCTATTAATTTTTATTTTTGCTCTATGAAAGGTGTATTTTGAAAAAGTAAAATTATTTTATCTTTATGTATTATTTCTTAAAAGTGTTCGGTATGGCATATCCTCGTTATTTTATTTTTTTTTTATCATATCCAATTATTGAACCTTCATTTTGAATATTATATTCAACTTCAGGTGAGAAAAATAGTTACATCTCCAAATTTTTTTAGGAAAACAGACAAGAACAAAGAAACTGCTCATAATTCAAAAATATATAATTAATGGTCTATTTCACCTATGAAAATTTGAAAGATTACTACTAAATTTCTACAAAACCACAACAACAAAAAAAATTATCAAACTCGGAACTGTAATCGAACTAAGAAAAAAATTAAATAAATTTCTCCATCTCATAATATAGTTTTATAGTATAGTATATTTATAGTATTAAGTTTTATAATATTTATAAAATAAGTTTTAAAAAAATTATCCTGCGAATGGTTTAATTAAACAATGCTACTTTATATAAATCATAAGTACAATGAAGCGTGGGTACTCATCGGGGACTCAACAGCCTCCATAATACTTTAGAGCGTCGTATTCAGAAGTGTTGCTTAATAAACTTATATTGACTACGGCTATCAAAGCTAATACAATGGCAGTCTTTTAGAATCTACTCAACTGACAATATGACAGTCTTGATAGTTTCCATTGTTGTAACACTTTCACTTTCATTGGTCTTATCTGTACTAATTTAAAAAGAATATTCTCTTATATAACGCTTTAATAATTTTAAATTACTTCTTTGATAAAGGCGTTGTCAAGATTTGCAGATTGTCAAGCTGCAATATGCAAATCTCTGACGTATTTTTAATAAGTTTCGAGGAGGCGTTTATATTTTGAAACATGTTTTCTCAACTACAAATATTTGTTTAATAAATCGTTCAAGTTATTTATCAATCTTCAAACTGAGCTTTAAACAGCTAACTTTAGTTGCGTGACTTGACATTCGTATCTGACTCACGAAGGCGCCACTGGCGTTTCGAAACATGCAGCCTACATTTGGCATTCGTCTTCCTACGTATAAGAAATAATTTGTTACTGGGGGCTCCTGGAGATAATATCTTAAGTGTTTCGATTTAATATTTCCTATTTATGCCAGATTAATAAAATTTTTTGATTGTTTTTATCTGAAACTTAGATCTTTCAGATTATAATAGTCTCATGTTATGTTGACCTTAATGCAAATAATCACTTGTATACTTCCCTTGTCAGCTTTCCTGTTGTAATTATTATTTTAGTAAACAAACTTAGGAATAAAAGTAATTTTTACCAAAATAAATATCAACATTACAGTTGTAAATATTAAGACCGTTTCAATTAAAACCACTCCTAAAATTTACTATTTTAACTTTCTCGTTCTATAAATATTTCTAATATAATTTCATGAAAATTGTTATTAAAATTGGGCCTAAAATACATTTCTTTTGTCTTTTTTAAGCAGAAAATTTACAACTTCTATGCGTATTCCGGAACCTCTAGGTGTGATTGATTATACCGTTCTCTAATATTGAACCGTTAGTGAACGGCGCCTTGAACTTGACTGACCTAAGAAGTTGGATTGGTTTTATCAACAAATATTTATATTTAATGAAAAAAAGAAGAGATTATCACTCATAATACCGTCGTTTGATAAAAGGTTCTTTGACCTCTACATTATATATTATCTCATTACTAGGATAAAATAGGAAATATTATCATAATTCGCTCATATAAAATAACTTCAACGCTCAAGATATTAAAAAAAAATATCCGTCCGTTTTATCTACGTACCTTCTTAAATGCCTTCCTAATTACTTCAGTTATGATTATCATTCTTAAGAATTCAATTATAGTTTTAGTGTATATAACGTAAATACAGAAAGATTTGTGATTTTTAATTTTAAATTACACATTTCCTTTCGAAAGATCGTTCAGTTATTTTTATATTAACAAAAATGAAACTGCTGTTATATGTGTATACGATTATTTAACTTCGAACGACCGTCTGATGACCTCAAATCTAAAGAATTCACTTCAAATGTGTTATGGCTGTTTTAGCTGGAAAAATTTTACTTACTGGGCTTCCGTGTTGACGAAATAAACCTTACAGTATGAAAGCGAATAAACCTATCATCCATATAGCTGTTGGACCTTATTTCGTTTTTCATAATCTTAAATATTAATATCTTTACAGTATCATAGATTCGAACAATTTGCGTTGTGATGAAGATGAAGCCTAACTCATTTTTTATTCATTGAAATATTTTTAATGATTGTAAGAGAAAGTATTCCCTATGTCAGTAGAAGACCAAATTTAGACGGGTTGTAATCTACTTACACTAACATAGACATTATTTAGATCAAAAAGATTAAATCAGATATCATTCATATTCAGATTGAACTATACTTAATCCTGATTCTTATAACCTTCCACTAATCTTTTGAAGACTACAGATACACTATATTTATCACATAAGTAAAGCTATGCATTAACTTTGTCCAGCAATCCATTAGGATTATGCATTAATCTGGTAATCTGTCAATTTAGCTTGATAACAAAACTTTAAGTTTTGTATATGGTCTTTTAAATTATTAGTTATTTTCAATCATTTGTTTTTGTCCAGCAGTCCATTAGGATCATGCATTAATCTGGTAATCGGTCAACTTAGCTTGATAACAAAACTTTATGTTTTGCATATAGTCTTTTAAATTATTAGTTATTTTCAATCATTTGTTTTTGATAGCCTAAGTATGGTTCTTTATGTTGGACTGAAATGTCTACTTTAAATTTAAAATAAAAGAAAGAAACAATGTTTTTTTTTTTTGTTTTTTTAAGGCACTCGGTATAAAAATACCGAAACTATTTTATAAATCAAAAATAGTCACATTTTACAAGTATTTATTTGGCTACAATTAATTTTATGAAATTTTAATTTTTGTGACTTTTTGAAGTAAAATCTTAATATGTATGTATACAGCTTTTATTAGAGATTATTGAAATAAATCAGGCTAAACTGTCGAAGTGTTTGAAAAGATGTCATCCTGGCTTATAAACAGATATATGAGTTATAAAAATCAGTATTTTCTTCATTAATTACTTATTTTTGAACCAAACATTAAAAACATAATATTTTAAGTTAACGCTCCTTTCATCATGTGGGTTTCTTCTGAAGAACTATCTCCACCTGGAAACTTTTTTTGAGAATTTTTAAAAGCTATACTTTTTTATTTGGCTAAATTTTATCTTATTAATGGGACTAACAATGGAACTAACGAATTTGATTTCTCTTTTTACTGAAGTTAGTATAATTGAAAACTATGTTGTAAAAAAATAAATCTGTATAGGTTGTTACTCTGATCCACTCCCGGCTATTCTATAAAGTGTTTTTTCGTTGCTAATATAGGTTTGTTTCTTCTTATCCTTTGATTATCTAATTAGCCTGGATCATTCGATCTGAGGGTAATAATCCTTAGAAGGAGCTGGACTATAGAACCAGAACACCTCCTTTTGTTTGTTGCACAGTGGAGTTATTCTGTTCGGCTATTCTCGGTTCGGGGTTAAGATCCTGTTCGTGCAAGAAGGTAATTCCCCCTCCCTTCCACTGTCCCACGTTGCTACGCACCGGCTGTTGTATCTTCGCTTGAGTGTGGACAATGGAATATTTTCAACAAAATCTCACTGACACTAGGCGTCGGTAAGTTTTACGGATAATATTATTGTTTTCTATTCACTTGTCGTATCAAATCAACTTTTCATGTTACTGCTTTTAACAAACTGTGAAATCATAGTATAAAACAGAAGTTTTTGTTATGAAGTGATCTTTGTTTGTGTGATGTTAATTTTCGTTTTTAGTCAAATTATTACTACATTATTGAAGATATAAGTAGTATTGGCATTACTAAACTTTCAATTTTAACTCTTATAGAATGAAATTGTGGCAGTTGATGCTATGCTTGTATGAGCTGAATTCAACATTTCAAACGGTTTTTCTGTTGGTTATGTAATAACTGACTCATTCTTCTACATTATGTCCCAGAATAACTCTAAAACATTCAAAATAAAAATGTTTCTTTGTTTAATTGACTCATGGTTATTGCCTTGTTGGTATTTTATGAAAAACTTAATACTGCTTTGGTACTAAATAGTTTTTAAACCAAAATACATCCAATAAAAGTGTTTTCATAAAAATGTAGTAGTTATACCAAATATTTATGTAAGCAATGCCAGTAAGTGAAAAATATGTTTCGTTAATGATTCTAAACATGTAAAACTTTTACTACTTTACAAGTTCGAATACATACTTTAATGAATGATAGCTTACTTAAGTTACTATTAAAGTGATACGCATAACTCATTAATTAGAACTTCAATATTTAAAGAAAAATTATTGTAAAGGAAAAATTAAAAACTAGAATATCAGGTCTCTGTGAATTAAATTAATCCTAAGTAGATTACCTTCGTCTAACAACTAAAATGCTTTATTTTGTTTATAGGGCTCGCAATGACTGACTGTCCAGTATATCTGTTTCAATACTTGAATTGGTGTCTTGATCAACGCCCTTTATGTTTTTTTTTTTTCATTGTTACCTTTTGGTACAATATCACTTGTTAACACTCACTACCTTTTGGTTCAATATCACTTGTTAAGACTCACGGAATGGGAATGTTATTGCTTAAGCTCTCAAACTAACCAATTAATACTATGTAGTCATTCTTATTAAGAATTTAACCCTTAACTTTGTTTTACTGTTAATTACTATAAATCTATATTCCTAAAAAAAAAAAGTAATTATGATAAAAGGATATCCAACATTGCTTCTGCCACCAATTCTATGGTTTCATTTTGAATAGTAAATTGTTTTATTTGACATCTTATTGTGCATTCATGCGGTGACTATAAATTTTGTTAATTTTGTTTCAGGGTGCTGAAACCCCCAGGTGGTGGCAGTTCAGACATCTTCGGCACCAGTGGCGGTAGCAATGAATCTGCGGCCACTCCTGCACGTCGGGTCAAGAACCATCAGCAGTCCAATTTGTTCCTAAGCGATGAGCCACAGATGACTCCGAGCAGAAACCAAAATGGTAAAGACACATACTCGCGGCTCTTCGGCGCCCCTTCCCCGACTACCCCCGCCTCTGCCTGCAAGAACAGAATGAAGAGCAACATTCTCCTCAATGAAGAGGTCAATGATAATAGAAACGAACAGAAGGATGATGCTAAGTCTGAGGCCAGCGATGATTGTACTGGTACGTAGTCCCTGTCCCTGGTGTAAAACCCGTTATCCTTCCACTTGGGTTCCTCATGGTTCCAACCAACTAAACCCTCTCTGGGTATAATGTTCATTTATTCTTAAACAGTTAATTGACAGAACAAATATAATCTGTCATTAACATTGCTACTTTTTGCCAATTCAGTATTATTTGTTTAAAGAAGTAAAACTATTTTTATCTGCCTGGTTTTGAATTCTCTTCAGGTCAGGTTTGATGTCTTCAATATTTGTTTTATTTTCATGAATAAAATGTTTTGTTTTGAACACATGATTTTAGCAAAAAAAAAAATTTGGTCCTATCGCAATTCTTTCCTTAGCTAATGTTGGTGGGAAAGTAAAAATATATGATGTGGCATTTTTTAAATGTTATAAAAATTACTTATAATGTTAATATTTGAATGATAATTGTTCCGATATGCCCTGATGCTTGTTGCATTGCCGTGATCATTTGTTGTTTCATAAATAAAATGATAAATTTTCCACCACCATATTTGCCAATGTTATGTTATGTGCAGTGCCAATATTATCCATTGCTCTTTATCAGATCAACTGAATGTTGATCGATTACTGTAGTCTATTAAGCCAATCTGTGATTGTTACCAGTTTGATTGACTGTCATTTTACAGACCATGAAAAGTTTCTTAGGCCAATTATTGCTTGAAAATTTTTCTTTTATGTAATAGATTAAATGTTTCATTAATATTATGAAGCAAGGTGATGATATTCTATTTCAGCATATTTCAATGTTGAAAAATTAATTGCAATAAAATCTAGAAATTCTTGTCTAAATAAGATAATACATTAATATTTTATAATAATTAAGATAATATTATGAAAAAGTCTGGGAGTTATAAGTGACAATTTTCCAGAAAGTTGAAAGGTCATAAATTAAAATACCTATACTAATTGTATTAGAAAATGATGGTATTTATCCAAGACAATAAATTTAATTTTGTATGGGAGTTGTAGTTTTCAAATAATTATGTCTAAAAACTTGTGAAACTACTCAACTTCCTTAGAAAACTTTCTCGTCGCTGTCATTTTTGGCAGTGATGACAATATCGTGATTGTTGGTTGGTATCTTGAACCTGAAGTTCCTAAGTGGAAATATTCCTTAACACTTCTGTCCTGCAAAGTTATCCTTTTGTATATAAAAACTGGCTAGGAATCAACTTCAAATGGTTCCAATAAAATTTAACTTTAAAAATGAAATATTTGGAAATAACATTTATTTTTATTCCTTTTAAATTACTTTTGTTGCTTTATTTTTTTTTTTTTTTATTAATTATTCCTTTAAAACATTTTTATTTATGTTACATATATTTACATCTTTCCTTCTTAACTACCTTTGCCTACTTTTGTTTCCTTTAAAGTGTTTTAGTTCTATTAATTAATAATATTTTGCTTGTGTTGCATGCTAACTTTGGTGGAGGTTTAACTAATCGTTATAATTTTGATTTTACATTTACTAACTCTAGTTAAATACTGAAATTGTTTGAATGTAGTCAGCTTTTAATTCCCTGATCATATGTTGAATCTACTTGCAGTAAAGAAATCTTCCGTTAAAATAGTTTATTCGGGGTAAGATTCGACTCTTAAAAATTTGAATAGTAATGTGAAATATGATTCAATTTTTGTTGTTGGTAATTTTTGAAAAATTATCAAAGTAATTATAAAGTTTTTATAGCTAAACTTTATTCCTTGAACATCTCTTGGTTTGTTTTTCACAACTATTGCACCTAAGCCTGGAAAATTTTAATTTAATTACAATTATTGAAATAATTTGAATTTTACTATAAATTTTCCTAAAATACTTTGGTTGTAGAAAGGCAGTTTCCTAATTTTTTTTTTTTTTTTGCTTTCTCCTCACCTTTTAGGCTATTTGTGGGTTTTTTTCAGACCAGGGGAGAGGACAGGGATTAATGTTAGAGTTAAAAGTCCCCTTTCTCCCAATGCGAACTTGTAATTATTTTACCATATAATCTTCAGTTAATCAGGTTGCTGTGCATCATTGGCCAGCTCAGCCAACCTGCCCCTGAGTTTCTGAATAAAAAAAAAGATCATAAGTTCATATGAGCATATTCTCTGCATGGTAACACTCATCTCCTCTAATCCCATTTCCTTAAAGATCCCCTAACTACGCATGGGCTCTGTGGCACCCATACTTATATAATTGGTGTTAAATTAATTGGTGGTGTTGTTATGAACGTGCCTGGATGGAAGACTAGTCGACCAAAGGATGCGCAATGACTGCTGTTTGAAGGTAATCTAGACCAAGGAACTCTTCTAGTATTAAAAAAAGATTATAAAATAAAAAAGGTAAAGCCTGTTTGGTTAATAGAATTATGAAGCCTGGTGAGATCTTATAAGTCTTCTATGTTTTCACAGCTAATAGAAGGCATTTCCTTCATTCTAAGGCTTCAGTATTTTTAGTTCCTAAGTTTCCTATTGTGAGTTCCTTGGTTTCAGTTTTATTTTTCTGATAAATACATTTTTCTTTCACTTATATGAGTCACAAGGTTTTGTTTTGTGGCTTGTATTGTGAAAGGCTATATTTTTGTCATTAACATTTTGTTTGTAGTATTAGCGAAAAATACTAATAAGCGTATGTTAAGTGTGTTTGCTTTTGTTTTGTTTTTAATGGATTGGGTATTATACTTTTTCAAACTGTCCAAAAAAAGAAAGCATTTTAGCATTTCAAGAGAACATGTTAGTTAAGTTGTATTAATTTTTATCAGATTTTTTTATTAAGAATTATAGATTTGTAATTCTCTGTTCATCACTTAACGATTATAAAAAATATTGTTAATTCCATTTTAATATGATATTTGAATTTAATAGTTCTGATATGCTTTCTTTTTTTCTTACATATATATTTATTACGTATATAATAAAGAAGAGAGTTACACAAGCTCTTGAGAAGTTAATAATTGTTTGATATTTCAAAAGTTGTAGCATGTTATGTTGTTTTCATTACACTGGGAGTAATAATTTCGTAGGAGAGCTTATAATAAAGTGTTACTACTCAGTATGCTTTTAAACATTCTGAGAACTTTTTCTTCTCTTTTAAAACTTTTCTCTCTTCAGTTTCTTCTATACTTACCTTATTTTCATAATTTTTCTTCTCCTTCAGAAAATTACATAGGTAAATATTAATGATATTAATTATCTTGTGTTTCGTATCCAAGGCAGTGTAAGAGCTTAATTTTCGTTTAAGTATAATATATAAGTTAATATATGAATTATTATAATGTAGATTTCAGAAACATGCTTTTAATTTGGACATAAAAGAGTCATTTATATGCTGTCTAGCTGTAAATGTGCATTTGCTAAATTATAAGCTGAGCATATAAATATGCTATTGCTTTTCACCTCTAGAAATATTAAGTAAATATTTGCCTTATGTGTGAAATAGTAAAGAAAATTCCAGAAAAATATATATCACTTGCTTATTTGCTGCATAGTATCCTTGTATTACAATCATCATTTTCATATAAATATTTTGTCTTTATTTAAGAAAGTGTCTGTTGTTTGCATCAGCAATAGTTCATAAATTTGAGACAATATTTTTATTCCGCGATTTGAAGACTGTCATGATATGAAGAACATTTTGACATATACAGTAGACTTGATAAATCAACAATTAGTATAAAATGTTGTCCTTACGATTCAGGTTTTATTTTTTCCAAAATCAACTATCACTCAAGTCATACCAATTATTATATGACAGTGTATTGTTTTTAAAATATTCCTGCACGTATTTGTTCTCAAAATTTTCTTATGCGCAAAAGTATAGGAAGTCTTCTCATATTAATATTTTCTTGTCTTTGCTGTTTTGTATTACATATAAACAACAGATAGTTTCCAAGTTTTTTGAATGAATGTGCTGTGGAAGTGATTTGATTTGCTAATGATCTATCACATTTTTATTTGTTGACCATTCATTTTCTATTTTTAAACTTTAGATGGAACCCATAATGGTCAAAATGGTCATTCCGAGGAGATTGCTAATGCGAACCCTGTGATGAATGGAAACGCAGCTCCGATTATGAATGGCAACACTCAGCCTGCACCAGCTCCTGCCCAACGCCAGCGTGTTCCTCCTGGTGGCTTTTCCTCCGGCCTGTGGTAATTGAGCAGTGGTAATTTTCGAGAGGGCCCATATCCTTCATCTTGGCCACGTTCATTTGTTTATGTCTTTTTTTCTATATTATTTTGTCTAATTTATGTAACAAAATATACTATTATACTCTTGATTTGTTCATTTTTGCTATTTGTGAATGTTTTATAGGACTAATGTTATCTATCATTGGATTAAATATTGAATTTTGCATTTAGGCTCAAAGATGTAATGATAGCTCTAGTTTTGTTATGTATGACAACACACACGTACTTGTAAACTACTAATGTTTAAGTCTTATTTACATTTGTATTGTTAGAAACTTAGAATCAAGTTAAATTTTAAAAATTTTGAACTTAAATTAAACTTTTTTTAAATTGTAATGATTCTGTTGTGGATTTACTATTTCCCTACCTTCCTTACCCAAATTATTTAACCCTGTTCCTTACAAACGAAACTCAATCAGCTCTACATCACTTTCTTGCTATGAGGTACCTACATTTCTATCTTGGTAAGAAGGATAAGCCTTAGATTATAATACTCCTTGTTTTGATCGTTATGTCCATTAATTCTTTTATTTTTGTATGAACATCAAGGAGATTATCTATCAAATACATTTCTTATAAAAGATCGTGGTTATAATTTTGAGTAATATTGAATTATTCTTGAAGTTAATTTTATGTAAATTAGGAGTTATTACCAATTTGTTTTTGCGATATGGATAATATCAAATCCAAAGAATTTTTGGACATATTATTTGGATGATTGGAGAAATTGATATCGAGTAAAAGTGGATTGGTATTGGTAGTTATTTTTTTTTTTCCAGTGGAAAATAAGTTGCTTAAAATGTAAAATTCTTGGTATATATCTTACATTACAAGCAATAAGACCTTATGACGTTACCATAAGTATTGTAGTAGATGAAAGAGAACTAAGCAGAAATCAACTGTAAGAGATAAATGTCCCATTGAATAAGTTATTCGTGTTAGAAACCATGCTTGAATTTCTTCGCAGGTATTTATTGTATATTAAAAACTGTACCACTACAACCCATCTCAAACCTTGGTTAGGTAGGTAAGTCAATTTTAATAAAAAAATTGCTGTAACATCCAAGGCATTTAGTTTCATTTAATACGCAATTATAGTTTTAGGTTTGGTTGATCACATTCATAGACCATTTTGTGACTATTTTTCATTTGGATTCGGAGTATGATTGCAATGCTTCAATAAATACTATTGCAGTCTTTTTTTTTTTTTTTTTTTTTAACAGGAATCTACACCAGTCACTGTTAGTTAAATTATCATATGTTCAATCTCAGACTGACTAGGGATCCACTATGTAGGTTCTGTCAAGGTGAGAACGAAACAGCCTTTCACATTGAGAGTCAGTGTGATAGCATTGCATGGCTTAGACTTAAGCTGTTTGGTGAGGACCGAGTGAGTGACCCTAAGACTTATGAGTTAATTAACCCTGTAATCTTATTCAAATACGCAGATGCGAACAATATTAACGTTTTAATATAAAATGGCTCTTACATGGCGCACGATAGACCCTTATGGTCATGGTACATTCATGCCGAAACAAGAAGATTCACTGAGAAGATTTTTCATAAATGTCTTCATACCGTCCTTAGTCCTCATAATAGTAATAATTTAGAAATGCCCCTGAAATTTTAATGAGGAATAGATATCCTCAAGTTTGTTCTTATTCTTCCAATAATGAATCGACTTTTTAGAAATTTATTTTATCTCTTAAAATGAAAAATAAAAGTTCAAACAATTTTAATTATAAAAATGCCTTTTTTGTTTCTTCGGTTTGAATATACAATGACAGGCAAAAAATTCCACCCACTTGATTTTTTCATGTTTTCATCTAAAAATATTTCTGCTTTGGATTGGTCTATTGTTTTTAATGAATAAATAGGTAATCTTTTTGTTTGTTTTCAATTAGGAATATAGAGGACAATAACCCTTAATCCTTAATTCAATGAAATGATTCTAGATTCCAATGTTTCCAAGATTCCAAAAAGAACCATTATTATTCTAAAAGAAATTAATTACATCATCGTTTAGTAGCGCGTTTTTCCTCCTCTTGCCTTCACTACTTGAAGATACCTCTGCATACTTTCCACCAGTTGGGAAATGTCCCTTTGCTGGAGGATAGCCCATTCCTACCGAAGAGCTCTTTCAAGGTCCTGCAGTGTATCAGGAAGTGCTGCACGCGCTCTTATTCTTCTTCTGAGGTTATCTCATAAATGCTCCATCGGGTTCAAATGTGAAGAACGTGCTGGCCATGCTAAAACCTCAATATTGTTCTGTTGAAGGAACGTCTGCACTCTGCGGGCGACATGTGGGCGTGCATTATCGAACATTAGAAAAGAACGATCACCGATTTCGTTGAGTATAGGCAACACATGAGGTTCCAAAATCTCCTCTACATAGCGAATGGCCGTCAAAGACCCTCCACGAGCAACAACCAATTCTGTGCGGCGCTCAGAGCGAATCTTGATTCATCTGTAAAAAGTACAGCACTCCATTCGTCCATAGTCCAATGGTTGTGTTCTCGAGCAAAAGCCAGCCATGTTACTCTGCGAGTTCTGGTCAACTCTGGTCCTCTTACTGGACAAAAAGCCATTAATCCATACTCATTTAATCTTCTCTGAGCGGTACGTTCATCTTGAACTTCTTCGAGCTAATGAATCGCTTGAACAACGGTAAGGTGCCGGTTTCGTAAAATTCTCAAAGTCAAAAACCGGTCATCCCGTCGTTCTGTTACCCTAGGCCCTCCAGAACCGAGCCTTCTATTGTAAGAACCAGTTTTCTGAAAACGCCTGACGACGTCTCGTAAAGTTTCATATGGAACTCCGATGGCATTAGTTGCATATCTCATGGAACGTCCATCATCAATAAGTGCCACACCACGCGCAACATCCTCAGCATGAAGATACATTTTTAAACTTAATATTGACAAAATTAAAAGCCGGAGACTAAGAAATGTGCTGCAAGAAATGGCACTGAACTAATGATACTGAATAAACATTTTGGTTCCATAGAAAGTAAACATTGGAATCTAGAATCATTTCATTGAATTAAGGATTAAGGGTTATTGTTCTCTATATTAACATTCCTAATTGAAAACAAACAAAAAGATTACCTATTTATTCATTAAAAATAATAGACCAATCCAAAGCAGAAATATTTTTAGATGAAAACATGAAAAAATCAAGTGGGTGGAATTTTTTGCCTGTCAGTGTATAAGTAAGTTGGTGTCATATTATTGACAGATGGGTAGGGTAAGTATTTATTAATTAATTTAAAAATATGTAAGTGTATAGATGTTATTAAAATAATCCAAATCATATAATATAATGTTATAAACAAAACCTATGAGTGTTTTAATTGTTATTCATTCATATGTAAGATCTATGTCAAGTGCAGACCAGATGTTTAAATAATCATTAGATTTTTATCTTTTTGTTAATTACGACATGATTATAAGAGATAAAAAGAGTTGTGATAATCATACTTAATCCTTAAGATAAATATTCATGAATCATAAGAAATGAGTCATAAAAAACACAGCAAGGCATTGAAATGACTACTCATTCTGATAAATTGCAAGAAATATTATTGAAGTTAGTAATGTTTTAAAACCCTATCAGTACCAGAAATGGGTGAAGGGGGCAAAATTTCAACCCATTTTTTTTTTAGGTTTAATAAACAACCGTGTTGCTAATTATTGCTGTTTTAATGGTACAGAAAGAAGCAAAAGAAGTAGTGGCAAAATTAAAGTTGTCCTGGTAAAAAAAATCCTACTTCCAACCTATGATATTATTATAAAAATTATTGTGTATATCGTCAGTCAAAATGGCATATCTGTAAATGTGTTGGAATTCAAAATTTGAAATTATGGTAGAGTATGTCCGACTAACTTCTTATTTAAATTGGTGGTATCATCTAAAACACAATTTGCCTCACTCATGCTGTCAACAATATTTTAGTCCATTATTACAGGACAAGTGGGGAAATTCAAAATCATAATATTTATGGAGGGGGATGAAACTGATCAAAAAATGTGTACTAAAAATTATACTTATGATAAACATGTTTATAGGACAAAATTAAAATGCCAATTAAGATTTTCTGCTCTACAAAGTTTAAGGCTATCTATCAGTGTAAGGATTTCAGAATATCGTAATGTTATTAAAACTTGCAATATATTATTTAAAAAACTATGTTTTAAATCTAATCTTTTAGTAAGTATTATTTAAAAAATTTAAAGTTTCTGAATTATTGGAAATAAGTCTTTAAAAAGTTCATATTGAATAAATATTCTTGCCAAAAAGGGGACTGTTCCTTTAGATTTTAATCCTAGATATAGTAAAACTTAAAGAATGAACAATTAATCAAAATTAGACTGAGACCTTTTAGTTGACTTTTTTACTTTCACTTACGTGTATATGTAATATATAGTAAGGTTAAGTATTGCGATCGTGAAAATTTTCGAATCTCAGTTTTCAATGGAAATACATGTTTTGAGGTCCCCTGAATCAAAATAACCAAGTGTTGCAAAATGGTCTATGTTTGTTTGTTAACAGTCTAGCTCATAAACGAAAAGTAGTATGAAACTAATATTAAGTATTTAAGGTTTGCATATGGGCCGGATGTGACAGCAACTTTTTTGTTAAAATCGGCTAACCGGAAGTGCCACTTTATATGAACGCTGAAGCACACTTTTCCAATTTTCTCAAAAACGGCTCTAACGATTTTGATTAAACTCGGTGTATCATTGTATAATTAAGTGGTCTTTAATATCATTTAAGTCTTATCCCTGTTGATTTAACTTTACAGGGCTTAAATGCCCAATGTTCATATATGTCTTCCTCTAAAGTACCTTTAATATGGTTTATTTTAAAAAGTTAATAATTTCGCATTATTCAGAGTTAAAAAAAAATTCTACATATAAATTTTGAAAGAAGAAGGAGAAAAAAAATAAAAATGCACAAAAACCTGCGTTGCTATAGACTGTAGCGCCTAAACGAATGTATTGATTTCAATGAAACTTCGCTACAGTCATTTTCTCGACACCCTTTAAATTTATCTATATAACATACTTCAACGAAAAGAAGCTGGAAAATAAGTTACGAGGGATGGTAAAATTAAATTCCGAATAACTCAAAAAGTATACACTTTTTTGGTGATATTGTATATAGTTTTTTAAAAGTTTATGGAATTTCCTAAAAAAACAAAAAAAAAAATTGTTAAAATAGAATAATAAGGATGCCTAGTTAGAATAAACGATATGGCCTCTAGTTTTCTTCCCTGAAGAGACAAAAATTTGGATAAATTTAAAATATACTTTTTTAATTGTTGAGACTAAA